AAGTTAATATCTTACAAGTTTAAGTTCGTTTAGGTTAATATCAGAGAGAGAGAGAGAGAGGAATGGGGTTTAACGTCCACTCGACACAAACTAAGTTTAAGATAATATCTTTAAAGTTTAAGATAATATCTTTAAAGTTTAATATAATATCTTTAAAGTTTAAGATAATATCTTTAAAGTTTAAGATAATATCTTTAAAGTTTAAGATAATATCTTTAAAGTTTAAGATAATATCCTTAAAGTTTAAGTTCGTTTAAATTAATATCTTTCAAGTTTAAGTTCGTTTAAATTAATATCTTAAAAGTTTAAGTTAATATCTTTAAAGTTTAAGTTAATATCTTAAAAGTTTAAGATAATATCTTTAAAGTTTAAGTTCGTTTAAATTAATATCTTACAAGTTTAAGTTAATATCTTTAAAGTTTAAGTTAATATCTTAAAAGTTTAAGTTAACATCTTGAAAGTTTAAGTTCGTTGAAGTTAATATCAGAGTTTATGTTAATATCTTTAAAGTTTAAGTTAATATCTTAACAATTTTAAGATCTTAATAGTTTAAGTTCGTTTAAGTTAATATCAGAGTTTATGTTAATATCTTAAAAGTTTAAGTTAATATCTTACAAGTTTAAGTTCGTTTAGGTTAATATCAGAGAGAGAGAGAGGAATGGGGTTTAACGTCCACTAGACACAAACTAGGTCATTTCGGGACTAACACATGGTTCGATTTCATTTCAATAATTCGCTTGCGCGTAGGGGTCTTTAGCAGTCGGAGGAAACCGGAGGACCCGGAGAAAACCCAGGAGGTTGGACAGGCGACCCTACTCCTTGTCACGTACAACCGGGGAATCGAAACCCCACCAGTTGACTCAATGACAGACCGTATGATACAGCGCGCGCGTGCTAACCATTCGGCCATCCACCCCCCCCCCCCCTAGGTTAATATCAGAGTTTATGTTAATATCTTTAAAGTTTAAGTTAATATCTTAGTTAAGTTTAAGTTAATATCTTAGTTAAGTTTAAGTTAATATCTTAGTTAAGTTTAAGTTAAGATCTTAATAGTTTAAGTTAATAACTTAAGACTTAAAGATACATTATGGGAGATAAGATAAAGAGATGGCAGTTCTCGCTATAATAGTTAAAAACTAGATAGTGTAAAGGTAATTTGCGGAAAATTACAGTCAAGTTGATCCACTATGAGCCGAGAAAGAGGCGTGTGAAATGTTTGCATAGTCTCGGTCATCATTACTAACATCATTAATATAAACAGCATAGTCTCGATTATCCGCTTTTATTGATTTAATTATCAATAGCCGTTAGCGGCATATAGGAATCTAATCCAGCCAACATCGAAGGCTGGCCTTGACATCGAGAGTTTATTATGGTCTGGATAAGTTAATTAATGTCTAATTGATAATTTAGATAACATTTCAGGCCTAACGAAAGACTTGTAATAAGCAGATTTTGCTCTTGCATAATGCATGTTTAAGTTAAAATCTTAAATGTTTATTTTAGAGATGCCTTCCCATGTACAAACTGTATGATGTGATGATTTGTTGAGCTAAAAACTAATTAATCTATCAAAAATTTGCTTCAAATCCCTGTCAAAACATTGTATTCCGGAGGAAGTACCCCAAGTGGTAAAACTCTATTTTTGGAAGCCATGTTTGTCACGTTACTTGATTGAGGGAGGGCCCATCTTAGAATGTGTTTGTCGTTACTTACTGTCCAATTAACGTACATATTGAAGCCTAAGTAAATTCTTTGATTATCCTCTGCCAAATTATTTTTCCGCCGTTTGATTGCAGGGTATGTTGTACGTTTAAACCCCTCAGTGTTCCCAAAACCACTTAACCATTCGATTAAGAAAAAATAACCGTTTCCTAAGTCAATCTGGCAGACAAGCCAGTATTTTTCTAGTAAGATTGGGCGTCTCTGCTTTCCATACATACCAAATTTGCCATACTTTTATTGGAAATAACTACCCTATAAATATTTCGCGAGAATGTATCTTTAATATCTTAAAAGTTTAAGTTAATATCTTAAAAGATTAAGTTCAAGTTGAAATTTGAAAATGTTAATAGTTTAAAAGCTCAAATTAATATCTTAAACGGTTTTATTTTAAGACATTAACTTGAAATTTCAAGATATTAGCTTGACTTTTCCAGATTTCAACATCTTGACTTATTAAGATGTCAACTTGACTTTTCAAGATGTCAACTTGACTTTTCAAGATGCCAACTTGACTTTTCAAGAAAAATTAGTTTTATCTAACTCTTTACCTTCAAGCAAAGGGTGATCCTCACATGTAAAATGTTTATTACAAATCAAGTTAGTGTCTTGGAAATTCATGATCATATCTTGAAGATTCACGTTAGTGTCTTTAAAAGTTAGTAACAGCTTGTAAATAATTCAATGGGGACCCATTTTGGGATTATCGTTTGTTTTAATATTACAACAAACCGCACCGCTACCCCCACCCACCCCCTCATCGACTCCATTCTCCTTCTTCCTAATATCTCCCCCACCTACACTCGCTGCGCTCTCTCGTCTTCCCTCCGTTTCAGTTCATCGTCCCTCTGGTTTCATTTACCAAATAATTCCTTGTAATAATATAGAGTTAACTAGAGTTTAAAATTTTCTCGTGTACCCTCAACCACCGCCCCAACACTTTGTTCTACTTCTCCAATCGTCTTCAGTCCATTACAAACTGATGATGACGATGATAATGTTAATGATGATGCTGCTGATGAATTATGTTGCTGCCGCAATGTAAATTTTGGGATCACTAGTTGGAGATCCGGATTCCCAGAAATAATTTTTCACATGTATTCGATTGTGTGCGAGTCATCGATTGTTCACATACAGACTGTAAGACTTCACTTAGATTGGTTTCAAAAATTAGAAGTTTAAGTGGCTAAATCACCAAAAAAAAAATCTTTCAGTGAGCTACTCCCGTGGTCAAAGGGGCCCCGTTCTCGGATATAGAATGTTGAATCCACCCAATTTATATTATTGATATACACTTATAACGTCCTCGGATGTGAGTGTGTATGTACTCGGTTGTTGGTGTTCACCATACACAAAGTCCCCAGTTGTCGGGATTACAACATAATGTGCGTCCTCGGTTGGTCACATTATTAATAACTTTTCTATCACGATAACGCACACCAATTATAAACGGTTATATTGTCTTTTTACCCATGTGTAAAAAAAGGTGTGGGGGGGGGGGGACAAAAACGTAGTTATTACAGGTTAAAGACAACAATGAGTGTCACGTCCACAAGTCCCCCATTGTACACATGCAGTCTGTATGACCTCAGTCAGATTGGTTTAGAAAATTAAAAGTTTTAAGTGGCTGAATCAATAAAAAATGTTCTTTCGTCGGCTGCTCCTGTGTTCAAAGGGGGCCTGTTCTCGGATACAGAGTGTAGAACCCACTCAATTCACATTATTGATATACACCTGTAACGTCCTGGGATGTGAGTGTGTGTGTCTACTCGGTTGTTGGTGTTCACCACACACAAAGTTCCAAGTTGTCTGTATTGAAACATAATATGCGTCCCCGGTTGATCACATTAATAAATGACAGTTTTATCGTGATATTGTGCCATACATCAATTTTAAACAGTCATATATTATATTTTTTCCTATGGTCAAAGGATGGGGGGGGGGGAGACATTTCCCCAATTATTTGCAAACTCCTGTGTGTCTGCATGTCTTCCGTAAAAAGTCAAATGCATAAAATATATAAATTGAGGTATAATTTATATCTTTTGATAATCGTTTGGGGTAATAGAGTTCAGACATAACGGTGCTTTTTAGTTACATGTAATATTTATCAAGACCTCGATTAGGAGGATCAAATCAAAATCCTCGATTTACACCATATACATGTATGTGTGGGTGTGTTTTTAGGGTTATTCGTAAAAAGTATGAAGTTAATAATGCAACAGATGATTATATCACAGCAAATATATGCACAAAAAAACTAATACAAACTTAGAAAACAAACTAGTTAAAACGTGAAGTGGATCTATGAAGTAAAGGTCTATCAAGTTATAATATAATGAAGTAATTCATTCCATATAGAAAGAGACTTGAACAATAAAACAAAGTTGAGCAAAAGTTAATGGTTTTGTAATCATTTAAAAAAAAATATATAAAAAAATCTCTTTTACTCGTTTCTATCATTTTTACATTTTTTTCTTGTGATGACGTAAATAAAATTAAACCCCAGATAATAATATAAAATAATCCGCCATTTGTTTTTTTTTTCTGAAGTCTTTCTTTTATTACGTGATTATACGACCCATAAAAATGAAAAAGGGGGCGTGACACATATAAACTGATAGTTCATGGGAGATTTTTTTTCAGTAAAACTGTTTTTAGTCATAATCTCTCCTTGTCATAAATTATAAAGATTTGTTTTGTTAATAAGATAATAAAACTGACAATACACAACGTGTAACATGACCATATTAAAGCAATATGTCCATTAAATTAAACTCCTGACCTCTCCCCGCGAGCGGTCTGACAGCTCCCTAAGCAACCCGACTTTTCCCAAAGCGACCCGATCTCTCCCCAACCGGCCCGCTCTCTTTCCAACTAACCGGACCTCTCCCAAATCAAGTTGATCTTTCCCCAACTGGACTGACTTCCCCGATACCGGACTGGGTTTTTTACCCAGTCGACCCGATCTCTCCCGAACCGGCCAGTCTTCTCCCCAACCGGACTGACTTCTCTCGAGTCGTCCAGACCTCTCCCCAATCAGACTGGTTTCTCCCTAACCGACCCGATCTCTTCCCCCGACAGGTCTGATCTCTCACCAACATTGACAACAAGTCTCACCTCTGACCTCACTACAACAGGCCTAAAATAGACAACATCTATGCTGACTATGACACCGTGAGGTTAAGTTTTACAGAGCGCGTGACTTTAACATGAATGTGTATTAAAACATGTATATTAAATAAGAGCAGCGTTGAAGGGGGGTTTATTATGGCGCTGTAGCTATGTTAGTTAGTGACATGACGACATGTCAGTGACATATATCAATATATAACTAGACCTACTTATTTCCTATAAAACACTGCGATATCAGCCCGAGGTAGAAGCGAACGTTAACCTCAGCCAGTGAACCAACCGTATAAAACACGGGGTCTTGAATATACGAGTTAACTTGATTAAGTTGGATTAAAACATCAAGTCGTTCGGATTTACAAATCTAAAAGTAAGAAAGTTTTTTTTATTATTATTTTTATCTCTGTGCGTCTTCAAACACGTGGTCTTGCGTCTACGAGCAATAGTTTTATAAATGTAAACCCTTAAGCTGCATCATGCTGTTGGATTAATTAGATATGCAGGTTCAATTTTTTTTAATTTAATGTAATACATATATTACTTTGGGTCTATAGTAGGTGTGTTAATTCCACAATAAACCCCTGGTATAGAAGCTACACGCGACTGTTTCTTACTTGCTAACTAATTCTTGTTAGCCGTGTCATTCTCTTGGATTAAAGTGAACAGTCGTTAAGATTTTTAAAGTAAGCCCATTTAATTCTTGTTTTAAATATTATACTTATGTTGTCTGATATTAGGGGGGTTGGATGGCTGAATGGTTAGCACGTGCGCGCTGTATCATAAAGTCTGTCATTGAGTCAACTGGAGTGGTTTCGATTCCCCGGTTTTCTTTGACAAGAAGTAGGGTCGCCTGTACAACCTCGTGGGTTTCTCCGGGTCCTCCGGTTTCCTCCCACTGCTAAAGACCCCTACGCGCAAGCGAATTATGGAAATAAAATTGAACCATATGTTAGTCCCAAAATGACCTAGTTTGTGTCGAGTGGACGTTAAACCCCATTTCTCTCTCTCTCTTGTCTGATATTGATATCAAAGGTTTATACTTTGCGAGTTGTCTCGAACCCTTTTATAACTGAAATGACAAGAAATAAAATGGGGTTTATGGGGTCTAGAAAAGTAGGATAAAGTAGGATTTTATTTAAAAAACCCATTTCATTCATTCGATCATACTTTTATACACCGGCCGAGCTATATTGAAGACGGGAATGAGCTATGAGAAGACACCACTACCTGACCTAATGTCAAGGGTTCTTTTACGTGCTCGCCAACGGATCACGGGATTTTAGATTTTCGCCCACCTCCCCCCAACGACTAGATGCTATACCCTGCCAAGATTATTTTATTTTAGCATAGTCAGTAATTTTTTGAATGAGAGTGGGCAACATGGAATATACATAAAATCTCACAATCGTCATTTGACTGATTTTCAATTCCTTGCAAACTACAATATTGTGGAAGTTTTTACATTTTTATGGTCGTGTTGACCAAATGTTTCGGCCGTTTTGGTTTCATGCTATTTCGTCTGTAACGCATATAAACAAGCCACTACCACACGTGCCTTGTTTATATGTGTCATGGACGACCAATTGAATATTTGTTATGTAATACGGATAGTGTGACATATTTACATAAATTATGAAAAGATTTGGGGCAAAAGAGAACTCTGGCCGTTTTGGTTTACGTGCGTTTTGACCATATCCCATTCATACCGAATGTCGAAAAATAGAAACATAATTCAATTATTGGCGATTGCTGTTATAATATAGAAGTCTAATGTAAAAGGGATCTGATAACAGTCTGACCTAAAAAGCTCTCTGTTATGCAGGCTGATATTTATTTAAGTCGTAATTAACTTATTCTCTAATTATGATTAAAATAGGATGTTTTGTAGATATATCAATCAACAGATTATGATCTATACAAAGTTTATTTAGCTTATTTACAGATCGACTTTAAAATGCTATCAAATGTGTATAAGAGAGAGAGAGAGAGAGAGACCGAGAGAGACCGAGAGAGACAGATGGGTTTAACGTCCACTCGACACAAACTAGGTCATTTCGGGACTAACATATGGTTTAATTCTATTTCAATAATTCGCTTGTAGGGGTCTTTAGCAGTGGGACGAAACCGGAGGAACGGGAGAAAACCCATAAGGTTGGACAGGCGACCCTACTCCTTGTCACATACAACCGGGGATACGAAACCACGCCAGTTGACTCAATGACAGGCCTTATGTGTATAAAGCTTCGTTTTCTGATACTGCTCCCTCCAACATAAAACGATTATTCACTCTCTACAAACAGCAAAGACCAAATCTTGGTTCGTCTACCGAGACTATTTTATTATCTTTGCTTGCTTATAGGAGATTCAGAGGAAAACTAATTAGCTACCAAGAACAATACAGACAGTGTCAGATTTAGATGAAAAGAGGTCCTAGGCTATTCCATTTATGAGGCCCCTCCCAATTCCCCAACCTCATGACTAGTGGAAGATGTCCGTCCATGTTGAAAGCCCCCGCCTCCTTTAGTTCTTGAGAAATGAAATGGGATTTAACGGCCTACTGTTCTGCTTGTTCTTGAGAACCTGGGATTCAACCTGCCAAGCTTCTGGGTAAGACGCTGGCTCACTAGCCTGGAGGTCGGGTGTTCGATCCCTGTATTGGCCGAGGAAGTTCATCCATATTTTCCGGCGTGGTCCCCCCCTTGTCAGTTATGCAGGACGGAGGGCCTGACAAGGACAGCTGTCTAGTCGTTCGGATGGGACGGAAAATGGAGGTCTAGTGTACACATTGGCGTGCACGTAAAAGATCCCTTGACAGTTGAAATTTGATAAAAGGGTAGGCCGTAGTGCCGCTGTTCGGGCAAAATTTCCCCCATAGCACACTGTATGGCGTATGCCCGTCTTCATTCTTCATTAGCCCAGTTCGGAGAAGAACAATAGACGTTAAACCCCATTTCATTTCATTTCATTTAATTTCCAAGACACCTAAGACTAAATAAATAAAAATCAATTAAAATTTGAAATACTTTTTTGATCACGTAATACACACGCCAAGGCTTAATGTGTTTTTTTGTTGTAAAGTTTGCAAATAACCTTATCACATGTTAACAGAACAAGACACCACCACTGTTGGTGTTTTTATTTTAAAACAAGGTTACTAGGTCACAAAAAATAAACTTTGAAATTGTGGAGATGCATTTTGGTCTGGGTATTGGGTTTATTTTCGTATTAAAACGTGCTTTAGACGAGTTTATAAGAAGATTAAGGCATGATGCGGACAATGCTATTAAAATAATCCAGCATTAAAAAACAAGCACTTGAAAAACCCAAGACAGTTATATTTAATGATGGCCGACGGTTTTTATTGTGGTGACATAATACTGAAAGGCAGATTTTAATGATGGCTTGAGTTTTCTAGTGTTTATTCTTTAAATCTTGTAACCTCTTTCCTATTAAACTTTGTGGGTTTAATATCTCTATATCAAGGGATATGGCGTTTACACGAACTAGAATAACTTGTCTTCATTTTAATGATATTAAACTTACATTATACAAGAGTTAAATCTGCCTATTGCAGGTCTTTCTTTACGCCTGAAAGATTTTTTAAATTATTTATTAGACATTAATTCAAGGAGCTAAATCGCTAATATTTAGGACCTAGAAATTGACCGTAATGGATCTCCTCAACCGAATGGCAATTTCTAGCGTCTGGTTATTCCAGTCTATTGCGCATGCTCTCCAGAGAAGATATGACGTCACCGTTTGACAGGAGTTGTGGAATATGTCTAGCCTCGTTCTTTCTGGTCAATTGTTACAAATTACGCTGAAACGCACTATGGTGTTCGATTCGGGTACCAATGGTAAAATTACTATGTTTATTTTGACTTAAATATTGAATATCAGAAGCATACCTTTTCCCGGTAAGATCACAACATCAATGTTGATTTGAATTGACAAATAATTCGCGTTTTCAACGTGTAAGACTTTGGATGATATTGAGTTAGAGACTTAGCTACTTTAACTGACCCAGGCCATAATAAACTCTCGATGACATCGGATTTCTCCGATATTAAATAGATTAGAACAGATCAGTCATATTTTGATTTAATTTAAAAATGGAGGAGCGAGAATTAGCTTCGAACAACCAGTACGGAGGTTGAAATTATTGCATACGTCTTGTCAAACCTTCAAAGGCTAATATCTATCTCGCAAAAGAGTAATTTGAATGAAATGTTCAAATTATTTATTTTGCATCATCTACTTTCGAACTATTATAGCAAGAATGACCAGCTCTTTATCTAAATCAGACACAATGTATCTTTAACTGTTGAATATGCTAATTAATTTAGAAATTATAATACTCAAAGGCAGATTTTAATTGTGGGTTGAATTGTCTATGTTGTGGCCTCTTCCCTATTAAACCTTGTGCGTTTAATATATGTTTAAAGAGACAATAAGTCTATACAATTATCTGCGATAGCACCCTAGAAGGAATCGGACGTTAAGCTCGAAAACAACAACAAAACAAATTATAATACTCAAAGGCAGATTTTAATTGTGGGTTGAATTGTCTATGTTGTGGCCTCTTCCCTATTAAACTTTGTGCGTTTAATATATGTTTAAAGAGGCAATGGGTCTATACAATTATCTGCGATAGCACCCTAGAAGGAAGCGGACGTTAAGCTCGAAAACAACAACAAGACAAGAGCCCAAACAAGCTAGGATAATTCGTCTTATTAATCAGTTTTTGATCATAATAATTTTGAATATGTTTAAATGTTGTGACCTCTTCCCTTGATTGTTCATATAGGTCACACTAGCTAAAATGCTGAATAGCGAGACTAGGTCATTTCGGCACTAACGTATAGTTCAATTTTATTTCAATAATTCGCTTGCGCGTAGGGGTCTTTAGCAGTGGGAGGAAACCCTACGCCTTGTCACGTGTAACAGGGAAATCGAAACCACGCCAGTTGACTCAATGACTGACCTTATGATACATGCGCACGTGTTCTAACCATTCGGCCACCCACCCCCCTGCTATGTATAAAAAAGAAGAAGAAAAAAAAGAAAAACGATATTGTGGTAGTCAGCTAATACAATAATTTGAGTTTTCAAACCTTGTATATCAAACCTTGACATAACATGTGGTAATCCCATTCAAAGACTGGGTGTAACAGGTTTTATAAATTAATATCAATATTTAAAAAGTTTCAAGATTCGCACGTCGATCATGGGTATATAAATAGATAATCCGTAGTTTTGTATTTATCTGTCATATCCCGTGACATGTCGAACACCTGCTGGATTGGCTGTCATGCTGTGTCAAGTTGTACCGATGTCGGAAAAACCAGTTTAAAGATGCATTATGTAAGA